ATACATAAATATTTTTAATATATTTATTTAATATAATAATTAATATTATTAGTTATAATTTTTTTTAAAATATAATAATAATTCCACCTTCTAAGTAGAGAAAAATATTAAATTAAACAAATTAAAAGTTATTAAAAAATTTATGTATACGATGACACATTTCATGTTCTGATTGGAGGATTAAATTTATTAAATTAAATTTTCAATAAGACTAATTTCATAAAATATGTAAGTCTTGAAGATTAAATATGTAATTATACTAATTTATTAACTTATGCATCAATATTTTCGTTAAATATTGATAAGAGATGACTAGATTGATAACATTTAAATAATTAACTGACAAAATTAATAGATCGATAATCAAAATAAAAAATAATAATATAACCATATGTGTAATATTATAATTTCATACATTTTTCTTATAACTACAATAAAATCAAAACTTGTTTTCATATATTGTTCTATCATATTAATGTAGATAATTCACTCCACCTTTAACACACATTAATAAAATACATTTGATACTTCTTACATTATAATCGAAATACTTTACATAATATATTATTAATTTATAATAATAATAAAAATAAAATATTTATTATTAAACAAAATACGTGGCAGTCGAGCTGGCGAAAGGCGCGTCCCCGGGGATGCGCCTTTCACACGTGGCATCCAACTCAGCGAAAACACAGGTAAAGCGTGTCCTCAGGGACGCGTCTTTCGCCAGCTCAGTCGAAAGGGTGTTATTTCAAAAAATATATATTAAACGATGTTAAAAAAATAAATATTCGTTAAAGGCGTGTGAGTTTGATCAAATCGCCGTGCTTTGATCGAAACTAAATTGAGATCAGTGTTGAAAAATCACATCTTTATGGGTGTATATATGACCCACGGTAAAGGATAAAAACCCTTAAATAGATTTCCCTCTGGATTAACAGCAGCGAGCGCCAACCTATCACCATCAATCAATCCCACATCCAATATAAATACAAACCACCATTTAACCATAATTATCCATCATCAGCTTTACTCTCCACGAGAAAATTACTCAGTTCTTACGGTGCAAATGGGATCTTTATTCCTCTTAAGGACTCAGAACAAAATCTACGGTTGCAGTACTTGGAGTATATAATAAAAGGAATCAGAAACCAACACGGTATATATAACCAGGTTTTTTTCCAAAGTTCAACGATTATGAGAAAGAAAATATAAAAATGAAACTATCATCTTTTATAACAATAATTAGATACGATTTGCATTGGTACGTTTGTGGGATGACGTTGACAATAACTGTCATTTTTTTTTGAAACGGCGCCATATATCAGAAATCATTTCTCAAAGAAAATGTGTGAAAATGGCTGCACCATGCAATCATTTACTACTTTCAAATGCTATATAAATTGGGAGCTACCATCCCCTAGTGTTCTTCACACCTCTCTATCTTCTTTCTCGTTTTGTTTTGCTATTAAGAGATTTTTCTTGCTAATCTGCTATGGCTACTAGGGCATCTGTGCTCCTCCTCGTATGCTTTCTGGTCTTGCATGGCGTTTGTGGTTCGAGTTCGACCTCTCTTTATTCTTCATTTGGGGTCCCGTTTTAAATGCGAACGTGCTAATCTTTTTCATGTTTAACAGGCTGCGTTTCTGGCCATGGATGCTCCTATGAAAAGCCATCTCAAAACAGAAAGGTTCATTATTTTGTTTTTTATTTTTTTTAACTGTTGAAAAAAAAACTAATGAAGCCATCGGTGCTTGCAGATGCTGCTGCAGGCTGATTGGAAGGTAAAAGATGGATCGACGACCGGTGCTGTGAATAGAGAAAGCTTTAGGACGGTACCATCAGGACCAGATCCATTGCACCATAACGGTGGTAGCCCTAAGAAGCCACGGATTGACCCTTAATTTCCCATGTTTTAACGTGTCCCCCCCCCTTTAATGACATACTATAATATAAATCTTGTAAGATTCCATCTTCTCTTTTGGAGGAGGGTAGTTTTTTGTTTGATCATGATGGTCTCTTGTCCTTTTGTTCTTTATATAAATGCAAATGTTTGAAGTTAATGATTAGTGTGATTTATCATATGGTCCATAGCCTAAAGCAAACAATGTTGAATTTGATCATTTGATTGTAAATGTTTCTAATACAAATGGTGACATCAAAACAAAAGAAAGACAAATGTTTGATCATTTGTATATCTGAATCATTTCATTTCAAGTCCATTTTTTTATTTAAATTTACTTAATTAAATCAACTCCAAATTCATTAAATTTAGACTAAATCACCTCGATAATAGAGAGGGGATGGATGGATGTGATTGTTTGTAGTCATAGCACCAATTGTTGATTGGAAGAGGGTGATAGTGGTGCATCCAGCGGTATTTTTACAAAAAAAAAAAAATCATCTAAATATATATTATTTACATGTTAGACATAGTTTTTTTTAAAAATTATTGATTTAACATTTTTTTTTACAGTAAAACGTTGTTGACTAAACTTGCCTTGCACACGTAGATAGAAAACATGGATCATCAAACGTGCCTTCCATCTGAGCTGACACCACAAGGTAAGCACGGATCCTCAGGCACGCCTTCGATGGAATTCTGACACTTGCCGGAAGGTATGGATCTCTTCTATTATTTTCTAAAATATCTCCTTTAATACCGTCCAACCATCCCCTTTCCTTTAATTCCACCGTGTCTCTCACCCCTCCACCTATAAATGCCCATCATACAACCCTTAAATCACACCAAAATATTTTCTTCTTTTTATTATTCATTTTAATAAGCTTTAAGTAAGTTATGTTATCGTTTTTATATGGTAAAACTTTTATTATTATATTATAATCATTTAATAGTTTATTATTTTATTATATTTTATTGTACTAATTTTTCATTGCTTTTTGTAGTTATAAAATGGAAAGCAGGTTACTACGTTTAGATGAAAATCATATCTTCAGTCATTTTGTTAATACAATAACAAATTTAAATTGTGTTATTTTAATTATTGTGAATATTTTATTTATTTATTTATTTTAATATTAATTTACATTTTAATTTATATACTATTTATTTAATTAGGAGAATGATTGTATATTATATCCACTTATTCATAACGTTAAGTTAGAGATATCAAATCATGTCTGGTTGTATTTAGTCGAGTCTGGATTCGGTTATATAGCGAGATAGGAAGGGCACTGTAACCTGAACTTCCCCTTATTTCTGCATTGGTTGAGAGGTAGAGACCAGAGACGCACACATTCCATCTTTATGCGGGGAGTGCACTATTACGCTGGAGGATGTTTCCCTATATTTGGGACTTCCAGTAGATGGGCTGTTATTTCTGGTGTGGCGGATGGTGATTGACATTCATTGTGCGAGGAGTATCGTCGAGGTATCACGCCTACTTTCTACAATGGTAGAATACTGTTGCATGGTTTGCTACAAATTTTAAAAATTTGAGTGAAGACTGTTCCGAGGAACATGCTAAAAGATTTGCTTAGGTTGCATATTGTACTCATAGGAGGGATCTTGATGGCCGAAAAATCTCGCAACCAAGTTCATGGTACCAGGATGTGGATTTCCCATTAACGAGTTAAAATCATTACACATTACTTGAGTTGAGCTACGAACAACATATACTTCAACAAATGTGGCATACGTTTGTGTAACAGCGTTTGAATTTTGATTTTGAGCATCAACCATCATAGCAACATCGTCATCGTTGGAGAGTTTGAACGTTGTATAAGTTAACGAAAATAGTGATGGAAATTTGTACTGAAGTGAGGATAGTCTTCTAGTATTTCCAATATTGACCTTCTTTGAAATTTTAATGTTTAGCTCCTCAAGTGTGATGTTCCTCTTGAAGGATAAGTTGACAGAATGCTTTGATGCGAATACAACGTCAGTTCCATCTTCCCAAATTTCTTCATCATATTAAACAATAGTTGAAATACACCTCATTTTGAGAGTTTGAAAGATTGAGAGTCTTATATCTGCAAAAAAACGACGATAATTATTTCTAATATACGAATTAAAATATAAACTAATACTAATAAAATTTAAAATATTCATAATAATTTAAATAGCACAATTTAATATTATTACTGTATCGATAAAAAGCCTCGAAATATGATCATGTCTATCATTTTACAACCGTAAAAGAAATAAAACATAATTAATACCATAAAATTTGGTCAAACAATTCTATATGAAATAAATATAATATAATAAAAGTAAATTTACTTTCTAAAAACTATAAAAACTTCTATTTAGCTTGATAAAAAGAATTGATAAAAAAAAGAATATCGTTGGATTTGTGTGTGGTTCGATATTTCTATTTGGGGCGATATTTATAGGGTAGGATATGGCCGATTTTCGGACAATAATTTTGAGAAAATAATGGAAGGCTCAGATAATGCATGTGTCAAAATCCCATCGAGGACGTGTCTGAAGATTCGCACTGTACACTCGTGGTGCCAGCTCAGACAAAAGACGCACTTGATGATCTGCGTTTTCCATCCACATGTGCAAGGTATGTTTGGTCAATCGCGCTTTACTATCAAAGGGTGCTAGATCAATAATATTTAAAAAAATAATGTCTGATAGATAATATATATTTAGGTAATTTTTGGATAAAAATGCGGATGCCTCCATATATATATATATATATATATATATATTGCTGCAACTGCTGCATTTGCTCAACCAAATCTATACATGTATGATGGACAATTAAGGATTTGACAGTGCTGATGCTGGGATTATCCTGCTGCAACTATTATTATTCCCTTTCATGCCAGTCAACATCATATTATATGTTACGATATCAGCACAAATGAGACAGACCAGTGTCAATATCCAATTGCTTCACTTTTAAATGTAGTTGATCATCAAGTTCAAGTTTGGTTTTCCATTATTTTTTAACAAAATATTTAGTACTTAATATTGTACTCATTTGTTATGACCGTAGGTAGCCATTGGCACTGAGCAGCCGTTTCTGATATTTTCTGCTAATGTATGCTCGTCCCAGAACCATAACCTTTTTCGCATCCCTTCTAGATAAATGCTCATCCACCAAATCCCTCCAAAAACTCAAACAAATTCATGCCAAAACCATTCTGCTTAATATTTCAAGCCACTCCTTCCTCCGAACCAAGCTCGTCTCGGCCTACGCTTCATGTTCCCAAATGCGCGAAGCTCATATCCTCTTCTTCTTCACTTCTCGACAACCCACTTTCCTATACAACTCCATTATCCGAGCCCACTCTTCTCTTAACCAATCCTCTCAATCCCTCGCCGTTTTTCACCACATGATCAGTGCCCAAAAGCCCTTTGACATTTTCACCTTGCCTCCCGTTCTCAAGTCTTGCGGCCAGTTATCTGATTTAACCCTTGGAAGAGAACTCCACGGGGCTGTTCTGGTCAATGGGTATTCGTCCAATTTGGCAAATAACAATTCTTTGATTAGCATGTATGGAAAATGTGGTGAATTGGATTGTGCAATGAAACTGTTTGATGAAATGCCTGTGAGAAGTTATGTATCGTATTCAGCGTTGATGGTTGGGTATGAGAAGCTTGGGATGGCGATGGAAGTATTTATTTTGTTTGATAAAATGGTGGAAATGGGGATGGTGGTTGATGAGGTGACGTTGACTACAGTTTTGACCACATGTAGTCGTGAGGGAATGGTGGAAAAGGGGAAAGAGGTTTTCGAAAAGATGGAGGAAAGTTTCGGGGTGAAGCCTAAATTGGAGCATTATACGTGTATGGTGGATATGTTGGGGAAGGCGGGATTGGTGGAGGAAGCTGAGGAATTGGTGATGGGGATGGAGTTGGAGACCGATATGGCTTTGTGGAATGCTTTGTTGACAGCTTGTAGGGTTCATGGGAAAGTGGAGGTGGCCGGAAGGGTGGAGAGAAGACTTGTGGGACGAAGTTGAATTTCGCTTCTTTGAATTGCTTTCTTCATTGTATTGGATGCTATTTCTATTGCTGCTATTAAAACTGCGCCGTGATGTTACAGAAGCTGGTCGGGTGTTGCAATTTGACTCATATTGGTAGAAAGAATCAATGCGCTTGTTTCTTGTTACTCGTTGATGGGTTTAATCACTTTCATATATTTGTCTTGCAACAATTTCAGAAGCATACCCGGATGACACTAGATCAAAGGCGAGCAACTCTAGCATTGCATAAATACAATCTTTTTCGATATGTGACTTGTCACTGGCGACGAATTCATGAACACAACCATTGATCTCAATTGAACTAAAACCTGGTTTCTTTTGTATCCCAAGTGCTTTCATTCTCCTCCTAACCTTCTTGCTCCCTCCCATCTTCCAACTGCTGCATATATGTTTGAGAGCAGTACATAATTGGAATCACTACCAGGGTCCAATGCCACAAGGTTCTTCACTATCCTTTTGGCTAAATTAATGTCCCCATGATTTGTACATGCAGCTAACAGTGAACCCAATACAACTTCGTTTGGCTTCATAGGCATATTTTGTACTACGTTCCATGCTTCTTTCAACTTCCCAGCACGGCTATAAAGATCAACTATGCAACCGAAATGCTCAATCCTAGGTGATATCCTATAAACTCTTTTCATAATAGCAAAATAATGGAGCCCTTCATCTACTAATCCTGCATGGCTACAAGCTGTAAGTGCTCCAGTAAAGCTGACCCCATCTGGTTTAAACCCTTCTTTCTGCATGGCATCGAAAGAATTAATGTTGCAATTATTTTTTTTCATCATAATAAATTTTATTTTTCTACTATAAATACTAAATCAAATATGTTCGGCTTAAATACTACGATTACATTATAATAATGACTAAATTTATTATTTATTATTACTTCGAATTTATTACTTCTTAATTCATTATATTTTCCCGTTCAATCACCATCCACCAACCTACCCGGGTTATTTATGGATAATTAACGGTGTCATTATTTTTTGTCATTATAATTAATATTATTTTTCTTCATTATAATAAATATTATTTTTCTACTACAAATACTAAATCAAATATGTTCATCTAAATGTCTTAAAATGTCTACTACAAATACTAAATTAATAATGTAGCAAACAATAAATCGTAAAATACTTTAAATAATATATTTTTACACTTACTTGAAAGTTTCTTCCTATAAGTTGATGTTATAAAAAAACCTTTTCTAATTTCTTACTCACTTATTTTTTTACTTGCAACAACATATTAAAAATAATATTTTAATAACCTTTCCGAAATAGACATATTTTATTCAAATACGAATATAATTTTATTCGAATAATACTTACAGATTATAGATTAGAAGAAAATTTTGTTCAAAATTTTATCTACTATTCTTCTCGGATGCTTACTCTTTCAATTCTTCTCCAGATTTTGCATCTTTTCTCCTTTTCTCACCATTACTTTACTCCTCAATTCTCAACCAAAACACCCCATTTAATAACATATCGGATATTTATTACAATTTTCCGTTCAACCACCAACCAACCCGGTTATTAATGAATAATTAATTTTTCCATTAATACTTACCTATTTCCCAGTCTGAGGCAACCTACCACCCTACACTAAAGACGTCGAGTAATTACGGAATCTTCTTTATGGCCAACTTGCCTGAAGACGCCAAGTGATCCCAGGGATTTTTAGTTTGCCTGAAGACCCTGAGATTTCGTATAACTTTTAGACTTGTAATGTAGAAAATACCCTAGATGGAGAAATAATGTTGGAACCGCATTATCCTAGAAAAAAACTTCCCAGGATACATTATTTTGGCACTTTTGCCAATTGGCTATGTTATTGTTAAATTTCTTAAAAAGAGAGAGAGAGGATAAAATACATCTATAGTCCCTTTAAAAGAAAAAAATGTTTTGCAATTAGACAAAGAAAAACCGTATACTTGAGCAGCTTGTGGCACGCTTGCGTGTCGCCACGGGCTTTCGAAGAGAAAATGATATGTACGATAGTAAGACCCACAGATGGTGCCTAATTGAATGGCAATTATTATTATTATTATTATTATTATTATTATTATTATCTATCTTCCGGTTCACTGTATATATTTCATATAAATATTACTGCATAAACAATTAAATTTTACAAACATAATGAATTTAGTAAGCCTCTCATGGTTTTTAAAATATATTAAAATTTTAATAATAATGAATTTGTACACGCTTTATGAAATCAAAACTTTTACTAGACTTGGCAAACTTGACCCGAATCTGATTACCCGAGTTAATTTACCCGAATATGATAATCAAATTTGATTCGATACCCGACTCATACTCAATCAGAACCATACTCAATCCAAAATTTAGCGAAACCGAAATTAACCCAAATCGAAATCGAAATTAAGTCAAACCAAAAGTAACCTAAACCGAATTTAACCCGATTCGAAAGCAACCTGAACATATTGAAATTGATAAAAATTATTTTCAATAATAAATTAATTTAAATAAAATTGATAATTTATTAAAAATATTATATTTATAATAAAATAATAAAAAGTTTAAGAGGAATATAAAAGTAAGAATCTAATTGTAAAATTGGAAACAATAATAAATAAAATTTACTTATCTTACTTGTTATAAAAATATTAGATTTATAATAAAAATAATAGAAAACAACTAAAATAAAGGAAATAATATTATATTTATAATAAAAATAACATAAAGTTTATTTTTGTTATGACTAAAGCTTAACAAATAAAGTTATGTATTATTTTTTAAAATTTAATAAAAATATTAAATTTATAATTGGAAATAATAATTTTAATAAAAAATTTATTTTTTTATCAAATAGTTCTCGTTATAAATTTGTTTCGAAGATTGTTAATGCTTGTAGTGTGCGAGATTTTTGTCCTATTTCTTGTTGTTCGGTGGTGTATAGGACAATTATGAGGATTTTGGTGGATAAACTTGCTGTTTTGTTTTCGTCTATGATTCTCCCTAGTCAGTTTGCATTTGTAAAGTGTAGGAACTTTGTGGGCAACACATTGCTTGTGCAAGAGCTGGTGGAGGGTTACTCTAGGAAGGTCATTTCCCCGAGATGTGTTGTGAAGGTAGACTTGCAGAAGGCTTTTGATAGTCTTAGTTGGGAGTTTATTATGAATGTGCTGGAAGCGATGGGGCTGCCAAAAGCGATTGGAGTTTGCTTGATGACGCCCCATTATTCTATTGCTTTTAATGGTAGTTTGGCTGGCTATTTTCGGGGTGCTAGGGGTACGACAAGGGGACCTGTTGTCCCCATATCTGTTTGTGTTGTCCATGAATGTGTTAGCTTGTATGCTGGATATGGCAACTCGTAAAGGGGTGTTTCGTTATCATCTGAAGTGCAAGAAAATTGGTTTGACCCACCTTTGTTTCGCCGATGACTTACTCATATTTTCTAAGGACATAATGGATTCTATTACATGTATTAAATCTGTTTTAGATTGTTTTATACCTTTTCTGGCTTACGGGTGAATCCTGCGAAGTGTGATTTATTTTCTGCTGGAATTTCGGACGGAGAGTTGTTACATATGATCTTAGTTTCGGGATTTAAACTTGGTAGTCTCCCTGTTTGTTACTTGGGTGCACCGTTGGTAACGAGAAAGGTTAGGGAATCAGATTGCCAGCCTTTGATTCGAAGTGTTTGCAGTAAATTGGAACATTGGTCAAATTATGGGTTGTCATATGCTGGTAGACTCTAGTTGATCTGGTTGGTGTTATTTGATATCATGAATTTTTGGTGTAGGCAACTTATCCTTCTGAGAAGTGCGATTAAAAGAATTGAGCATTTGTGCTCTCGGTTTTTTGGAAGGGACATGATGTGGTTGCATCGGGTGGTAAGGTTCGATGGGAGCTATTATGTTTGCCAAGGTTTGAGGTCGGGCATTAAGGATATCTGGTGCTGGAATAAGGTTTGTCTTTTCAAATTGTTGAGGGATATTTTTGCGGGGAGGGGTCGCTATGGGTGGCGTGGGTAAACGCTTATGTGCTAAAAGGGGTGATTTTTGGAAGAGCTCTGTGAGCTGGAGTCTTCGGAAGATTTTCGTGTTGCGAGGCGAGGCTTATGCTATAAGGGGTGTCCTGGTCAGATGGGATGTGGGTGTGAGGGAGATTTGGGTTGAAATTCGTAGGAATGACGAGAGGATGGGTTGGCATAAAATTGTTTGGTTTCCTCTCCATGTCCCTAAGCATGTTGTGGTCGTGTGCCTCGCCATCCTCAATAGGCTAGCGACAAAAGATCGCCTGTTGAAGATGGGAATGATATTAAATGCGGATTGTGTACTATACGGGGAGGATGCGGAGACACTTGATGATCTATTTTTTAGGAGTCCTTTTTTGGTGAGCATTGGGAAGGATATACTTAAGTTATGCAGATGGGACAAGGGGATTCATTCATGGGGACAAGAGCTTGCTTGGGTTATCAGCATGTTCAAGGGTAAGTCTTTAGCAGTTTTGATTCTTAAGCTAGTTTGGAATGCTTTCCTTTATTTGGTTTAGGAGGAGAGGAATAGAAGAACTTTCCAACGTATTTCTAGGGATGATATGAGGAAAATGAGTAGAATTCGAATCTTTGTATAGAGGGGGATAACTAGGGATGGACATGGGACTCGAACTCGACGGGTTTCGACTCGATCTGATCTAGTCGTTTTTTTTATAAAAAAATTGGGTTCGGATTGGGTTGGGTTCGGGTATAGGGTGAAAAATACCCGACCGACCCATCCCAAAAAAAATAATTTTACCTTATATAGTTAGGAATAATTATAACAATACCCTTTTATATATTATTTTTCAATTAATTCACTAATTTTATTGATTAAAAATAATATTTTTTATTATTAGGGTCGGGTCGAGTGAGTTCGGATTTTATCTAAAATATTCGGGTCAAATTTAGATCGAATGAAGAATATATATTTTTTGAATCGAATCGAATCGGAGGAAAAATATAAATTTTTTTAATACCCAACGCATACCCATCCCTAAAGATAACTAAACAAGTGTCGGGGGTTTTTGTCG